TCCAAAGTTCCCAAATATTGTACTTCAGGTAATGTTTTCATGTCCCAGATGTCTCTTTTATACTTATGCACGCAGTCATTTTACTAAAATAATCTTACCCTATGAAGGGAAATAATTTATACACTACCAAGTGGCACATAGCCTACATAGAGCTTTAGTGTTCGCAAAACAAATTTCTGGGAACACACTGGACACTTCTAGCCTAACATTACCTGTTTTCTAAACTCATAAGGGTTGCTGATGCTAACCAGGCTTTGCTCTACCTAGGATCTGCAGTGCTAGATGAAAACACGCCTCGCAGCCTGCGCCTGAGCAGGCTGCAGGGCCCACACCTGGCCGGGCGCGCCAAATGTGACCATCACTGTGTGGGCCCACTGCACACTGGAATAGCACACACCTTTTTAACTTCCTGGAACTAGGACTAGATGATGCTACCACGACCCAAGGACCCGATACTGACAGCACACTGAGGAGAAGTAAACAGCAAACACGTCCCAAAGCACACTGCAGGGTGGAGCTGAAGGCCACATTTCAATCAAGCAGGTCTGCAGCCTATGAAGGGAGTGACTGGCAGTGGGAAGTAAACTGGAGGCATGAACCACATCTAAGATGGCGACAGCAGTGACAAAGACTGAGCGCCAATGCTGCATACCCACGCTGGGCCGCTGTGCTGAGCGCAAGTCGAAGGACACCTATGTGTCCCCTGAAGCACGTTATCACAGTGGTGAATGATCTTGCTGCAGTCTGAAAGGCACATGGTGGATTTTTACCATCCCTGCTCCAAGAGATGGATCAGTCCAAGGATCTACACGGGTGTGAGGAAGGCTAGGATAACTCCATAGGTTAGGAAGAACAGCTTCTAGTCTTTTCAGGAAGATCTGCTGAATAGCAAGCACAGCCTCACACCACCAGTAGCAAGAGTGGAAAGCCATGATTTCACTGTGGGTGGCCTTTCTTAAATCCTTATCTTAAATTCTTATCCTATTTCTCTTCCAGATAACCAAGAAAAGGAATTCCGAACTACTAGCTGCAGGATTTGAAGAATTTAACCATCAAGATGATTGGGAAGGAAATTAACCACCAAAAACAGACATCCCTTAAGCTATCTCATGACAGATAATTAGCTTTCCAAAGGAAAACCATTCCAGTCTGTCAGTATTCTGAAAACAAGCAGGCATAGTCACTGGAATCCGGGCCAAACGTCAACACAGAACCAGCACACGTGGTGGTTCCCATAGTGTAGTGGTTATCACATTCTCCTGACACGGAACCAGCACACGAGTTTGAGTATGCAAGTCACGTAATTGACAACTAGTAAATCCTGAAGAAAAACATTTCTATCAAAACCTAGAATACAGTCAGTGAAACATATGTGGATTGCTGTCAGACAACCCTTAAGGCAACAGTAAACAGATCTTCTTCTAGATCCCTTTAAAGTATTACTAAAAGACCATGCACAGTGCCGCTCCCTGCTCTGGGAGCTGCATGATAGTCAGGAAGCAAGCTCTTAATAGAATAACGCTGCCAGAATACAATACCAAACAGCAAGCCCTGAGAGTCACATTTGACAGCAGCTACCAAAATAAAATGTTTTGGTGGTCAAAACAATCCCCTAGGCAGGAGCGTTTCTCTATGGAGAAGGGACACATGCCCTGAACAGACGTCCCTTCAGGTCTCACACTCACAGCTTTCCTCCCCAGGGAAGACCTATGACACGGAATTTCAAATCAAACTACAATGACAAATTGTCATGACCAAAAAAATGGTGGCTGTGGGCTCTCTCTACCCACAGCCACACCCTGGAAAATCCCTGCAGAAACTTGCTAGACGCATGACAGGCTAGGAAAAGCAGAGGAAAACACTGCACCCAGGGAAAAGGTGTCTGCCAATCCCCATGACAGGCTCCATCCCACGTCAGTCTTGACCCAACAAGTGCACAGAATGGGGACTGGCTGGAGAGAGCAGAACTGGTCAACACGGTATTCTCATGGGAGACTACTTTTGCGGAGTCTCTTCCTGGTCAGCCAACCCCAGAAGATCAGCAGGTTGAGTGCGCTAGAGAGGCAGATTCCACTCATGGGCATTGACAGGATTCCTTGGGACCGTAGTAGAGTCTCATCTTCCAACAGGTGCAAGAGTCATAACTTTGCAAAATGGGAAAAGGGATCAGGGCCAGGAGGGTGGGGAGAAAGACATGCAAAATACATGCAAAAAATATATACACTCAACTGGTGTACTTATGTATCACTAATATATACCAATATAAAATTCTAAATATAAAAATATCACAAGGTACAACACAAATTTCTAAATAACAAGCATTTATTTGTACTTCTAAGTACATCGGCATTTAAGGAAATTCTGATATACATATTCATGAAATGAGAAGAAAATAACAGCTGCAAGTGATCCTGGAAGTGGAAAGTGGCCAATTAATAAATCTACTTGTGGTTTGAAGGCAACATTCTACATTGGTACAAATTATTAGAATCTGTTTGAATGTGCACTGATTTTTCTCCTAGAAAATTCATGAGACAGCCAAACTCGCTTCAGTGTCAGTCTCGAGACCGAGCGCACTGGTTCAAAACCAGCTGCTGTGGTCGAGGTGCAGTCCTGACACGGGGCGGCTCCTTCTCTGCGCTGGTGCTCGTGTGCGGGCCTTGCTGGACACCAACCCACCACTCTGTCTGCAGGGCGGCCCCACGGCTCCCACAAGGCCAGGACCCGTACACCAGGTGCTTCTGGATCCAAGCTTAACAGCACTGACCCTGCCTGTATTGCACAGAACTCATCTGAGATCTTAACAAAGACCTTGGAGCACAGACCTGCCTGAAACGCTATGTATCTCCCAGGCAGGGCCGCAGTCTGAGACGCACTCACCTTTACACTCCACCTCTGTGCCCCTCCTTGCCCCTACTATCCTCACTCTCTCTGTTAGGGCCCCTCAGCCTTCCCTCACCCTGGGAAGTACATCTTCTGGGAGAAATGAAAACTCCCAGTACCTGTGACTCTGGTCATGATAAGCAGGCCAAGGAGACCCTCCTGCCCTGTAACAAGGTGAAACGACAGAGAAACAACCCTCTGTAAATCAAGGGGCTGCTCCAGCTTCTTCCCAGCTTGGAATCCTTTTGCCATACATTAGTGGAACAAAAGTACTTCTTTCTCATCATCTGACAATCACTTTTACCTCCAAGGAGTTCTTTCCATCTGAGGAAGTAGGTCTGTCACTCAACTGAATTAACTGACAGGTTCACTCAGCACATATAATGATTCAAGTATTCTTACACTACTTAAACGAGAGATGCACAATCTGGATCCCCTGAGAACCATAGTAGTAACCTGTGAGTGAAAATATTCCCGAAAATACCTAATTAGGGGCTTGTGATGTGGGCAGTGGCAGACTACTGACCTAGCATATGCAAGGCCCTGGGCATGATCCCTGGCAACACGAACACACACACACGCACACGCACACACATACACACACACACACAGAGTTCATGCACACAAACATACCCAGTTGACAAAGCTCTACAAATAATATGAATTATTATTCTTGTCTTCAGGCTTCTACTGTCCAAAATTCTACAAACACCATCAATTCTGTCTTTAATCTTTCCTTGGTTGCTTATAAAACAAAAGGGTTGACTAAATGTACTAGAAAAAGAACGACCTAAGTCAAGCGAGGGGTTCAATGAGAGTAGAAGTCTTTTGTGTCCACCTATGTCCCTACCTTATCTCCACAACTTTAGAATTAAGACAGCTGTGTTCTTAAGCATGTTCCTGTTCCAGTGAGCTCATAACCTCACACGCACACCTGTCCGATACACTGATGGTCACTTTACACTTGAGTTGAATGTGAAGACATCACTTCATTATAACTGAACGTGAAGACGTCGCGTACCTCCTTCAGTGTTCGGTGCATGGACGCTTTCCCACACATGCCATCCACAGTGTGAGGAATCGGTGTGGACACGTGCTAAGACTGGCGAGACAGCACTATGAGGTTAGTTCTTTGCAGACCACGCGTAGGCTTAAACTTTAAGTCTCCATTAAAATATGAGCTAACTAACTTTTGATTCTCAGTTTTCCCCTGGCATTCATAGGTTTGCCAGCAGACTTGATCACCGTCGTTTCCACCAGTCCCTTTTGGGGTCAGCACCCTAAGCTTCCCCGGCAAGTGTCTCCATATGAATGCACATCAGCTGTATGTAGGTTAACCCAAGTCTACCTGAGTTAGGGCCAGTGTGGTGGCAACATGAACTCAGGAGACTATTTTAAATAGACAGTTTCTAGGTCAGCTGAGTAACATAATTAGAAACAAAATGGCTCATGATTAGTATAATTTTATTAACTATCAGTCGAAAACTAAAAGGACTTGTAACAAGCTTTTGCTATATTTCTTACAAATACTACAAAACATTAGGTTCTCTCATTATAATATTTTAACTTTTTTAATTAATTTTTCATCTAGTATCAATTCATGTACCTATAACAAACATAAATTATGCAAATAGTACTAAAAGGACATCATTAAAAACCAATTTGGTTACTACATTTTTTTCAAGGACTTCACTTATTACTGGTTAAGAAATAAAGTGCACACTCACTAACCTACACAAAGAAAAACACCTAGGAAGGTGAACAGGAGAATGTGAACAGGTTGTTGATCTCAGTAACTACACCCTCTGTCTCCGTCACCCAGTGACCCCAGGATGGGGACCCGGAGCAGCCAAGTAGCTGCCAAAGGACATCCACCCCACACTCTTAGCCCTCAGCACCCAGGGCCACAGGCCTCCCCAACAGGCGATCACCCGTGCAGCCTGGTGACAAATAAGCGTTCCGCAGTGTGCAGTCACCAGGAGAAGCGGCTCTGAGAACAGCATGTGGCTCCCAACACTGGTCGGCTGCAAGTATCCCCCTGACTGAGGCAGCTTTCCAGGTGAGAAGACAGTCACTGAACCTTCATTTCAAATGTTAGAGTACTTACAAACCAGAAAAAAGTGCAGAGAATAATTTTATTTTCTAATTTTATTCTACAATACAAACAAGACTCTTTTAAGCTTATGTCAACATAACTCCCTGATGGATTTTTGTCTCTAAATTCCTAATATGAAAGTCATAAATATTAGGTTTGAAACTGTTGACATTTGATCAAGACTAAGAACACCCAAGAAGAACTTTTTCTTTAAATTATCTGTTACATGAAACAAGCAATTACTAAGTATAAGGGCTATTGAATTACAAAGCTTATAAAATAGCTCTACACTTTCCAAAAATCTTGAAAGGCAAGATAAGACACTAGGAATTAAACAGATATTTGAAACAAACAGCAGCTTAAACCATGAAACAGCTTGGACAAGATTCTCACACAAAAAGCACATCTGAGATGAAGCTGAAAGAGTATCTGAATTCAGTCCAGTTAGGCCAGGGCTACCTAAGCTGTTTCCCTTTCTAAATTAAACTAAATTTATCCCAGAACTTATAAATGTCCGAACAGTCTGTAATTCCTTTATTAGCCCATGAAATATATATTTAAAAAATATTCTGATGGCAACACACAGCTTGATAGAAAAGAAAACCCAGTCAGTGCTGGACATGAGCACTGCCTTTATCAAAGAACATGCCGAATAAATTAAGGCTCATTCCAGAATTCTAGAAGTCAGTAAGAAGTGCTTCACCCAAACTAAGACACGCTGCGCAGGAGGGGAAAAGCCAGAATTTCCGTCATGGAGGAGGTATCTAAGAATTTCTGAAACGTAAGACAAAACACAGCTTTCCTGGCGTTTTCCAAGCAGCAGTGCCTTGACATTTCAAGTGCCTTAATTCCCAGAAGAAGTTTAAGCCACAATTTCATTACTCCAGTTATAAAGGACTACATCTTCTGAAATAGCTGCAAAATTATCTTTCCTGTGAGAGCAATCGTGACGGCCTTAAGGCAGTCTGCAGGCCAAGAGACGGGATCTGTCCAAGCCTGAAAAGCATCAGAGTGAAGAGAAGATCCAGAGCTACAGCTGGAGCAAGGAAACGAACCATAAGGTCCTAAAAATCACCCCATAACCCTAACTAACCCTAAACACATTAACGAAAGGCCATGATTAGTAACATCTGGTCACTTGCAGAATGACCCGAATAGCAGCAAGGCGGCTTGCTCTCCCGGCCCTCTCCTTAGCACACGGCCAGGCTGCGCCTGCGGGTGGGCGGCAGCAGCAGCTACTTGAGCAGGCTCTGCAGCATGGCTGTGGCGTAGGTGGGCCGCGCCTGCCTGCTCTCGATGGCGCTCTGCAGGTACTGGAGGCCCCCGCAGCGCTCCCAGATCTCCTCAAACTGCCTCGGCAAGATCTCGGCGCCGCGCTTCCGGGTGAGGCCCGTCTCCTCCAGGTTCAGCTCACACATCTCCATGTCATCTTTCCCTGCACACAGGAGACACGGAAAATGACCTCTCTCTCTCTGGAATGACATTAGGAGCTTTGTTCCGGAATCAAATAATCACAAATCAAATTTAAAACTTCATTTTCTTTAGGCTGGAAATGTGCTTAATGAATTCACTAGGAAACTAAGTTGCCCGCACTAAAAAAAACCCGGTGAAAATTTGTAAGCAGCACAGTGAATCAAAAAGTAATCAGGTTAACATAAGTGACATGTGTCCTTAAGCTACTGCAAGACAACAAATATAAACACAATGAAAAGTTTCTTAGAATACAGACAAGTTTCTGAGTGCTCTAAGAGGACATAATTAGCCCAAGCAATTTCACATTATAACTCAGTTAACCCTCAGTTAGCTGCAATGTGATTTAACAGTGAACTCCATCATCCCACACTGCAATTTAGTTAATTATCACCTTCTGATTCAGAATGCATCATTCATAAGGTTTCTAACCCTTCCTGTTTCATGCATTTTCTGGGAAATACACACCAGCCACAAGAAGGATGGGCGGCTTGTCAGGGTGCAGCTCCATCTGCCGGGCAATCCAGGGCCCGTCGAAGTGGGCATACCACCAGCCTTTCTTCTTGTTCTGGGGGTCTTTGTACTGGTCAGCAGGGCGGATGAATGGGATTCGGAAGAATCGCTGCTGCCGGTTCATCTCAATCTCCTGCTGCCTGGCAGGAAGCTGAGCAGCTGGGTTCTGCTGAGCTGTACGCAGAAGAGGAGCATTAGTTACAGCTACGGCTCAAGGGAAAGGCAGAGCCTTTAACCCTAAATGCACAAGAACACCCCCAGAGGAGAGGGGGAGGTTCCCAGAATAACTGACCGCCTGTAACAGAATACAATCCTGAGCATGATTTCTTAGAATTCTCCTGTCATTTCTTAAAGATGCTCCTTGGTGGTGCATTCCTGCACGTGTGCAGGTAGGCACGCATGCACGCGCCCCACTACCACCACCACCACCACCACCACCACCAGGAGACACACAACTGTACCATACCCTTAACAAATGGCTGTTACCAGTAACCTGAAATAAAGCTACATGGCAGGAACGCAAGCTAGTATTATTTACTAGATTTGCACTTTTCCTCCAAAGATTTCAAATGAAAGTTGCAAAATAACTTATTGGATTACTTACAATAAAATTAAGAATTTTAAAAATCTGTTATAATCACAATTACCATAACAAGTGGAGGCCATGTAAAAATCTTCTCTTTTATCAACAGATTTGGGGATTTTGAGTGGTCAAGATAACATGGATATTAGTAACAGACAAACATAACCAAATAAAATCTGTAACAGTAAGCATGAGCTTTCTCATAAACATGTTTACTTATTCCAGAACCAGAGTTCATTCTTCTGGAATAAACCCCACAGAAGATAGAGGCCTCGTACACTCTTGCCAGCAGAAGCAAAGTCCCTGTTCCCCTTGCAGCACTGCCTAAGCACCCCACCCATAGCCAGCATTTATTCTTCGCTCGATTTTCAGTATTGAAAAATTGGGTTTTTGTTTCATCTGCAAAAGTAAACATTTCCCGGAGCAATGACCTCAGGTCTTCAGTAGCATGATTTTAGTAAGGCTGCTTAATATGCTTTATACACACAGCAGTAAAAGCACACCAATCATGCACTGCAGTTCCAAGACCTCAGGATGGAAATCAAAGTATGTCAATGGAAAGTTTTACAATAACTTTCACACAGGATACAAAACTCAAGTATAACCACATGGTTTTTGTAAGAAATTACAAATATGGGAAGAATGAAAATACTCTTACTCTACTTTTTACACCTAGAAAGAGCAAGAGAGCTACAGCAGCTAAATTTATTTCTTTGCAAATCAGAGAAAGCAAAGCAATCAGCAAAGCTATGTATGTCTATGAAAGTAGAAGCCAGTTTTGTTAGTGATTTAAAAAAACCCCATTACCCTTAGCATATTAATAGAAACGTGTTCATTTATTCTTTTGTTCCTGTTTCCCTAAAGCTATGCACAGCTCAGAGTATACTTGAACTTTTAAAAATTACCTTGGTAGAAAATATTTAATGGTAAAATCTTGGAAGAGGATTTTTTTTTAAATTTCCCTCCATCTTAAGAATTGGAATTTAACATCCAGTTGATTGGATATTAACTATAATACCAATAACTGTCTATTAATTAACCTATTTTTCTTTTAAAATAGTAGTCTATTATTCAGTATATTTATCCTGTTACTTGATAAAATTTAAAAACCAAGAAAAGTCTTCACTAGGGAAAAATGGAAACATTGAAGAACACTAAAAACTAATATCTCTCTGGAAAATTTCAAAAGTACAGATCTTCAAAAGCTTGAATCTTACCTAAACAACTTTTTTTCCTATCCAGTTGTATTACACTTTAAGATTATAAAATTTGTTTTAGGGGCCGGGGAGATGGCTCAGTAGAATAAGCGCTTGCCTGGCAAGCACAGGGGCCTGAGTTAAATCCCTGGTTCCACAAAAAAGAAAGAAAGAAAAAAAATTGTTTCAAACATAGCCCTGTAAATTATCAGACAGTTTAAAAAACAGGTCAAATCAGCTGGCTAGTGGCCAGTCTGTGGCATTATGTCGAATCACTCCTGTTCAGCTGATTCCAAAGGAGACTCAGAAAGTATGAGTCTCCTATGAGGCCACGAAGTAACAAAGTAATCTCCTCTCCTACTTCTTTGCTTAGAAAAGCAGATGCCCTCAGTGTGGAGAATAAAGAGCCTGCAACCAGCACCTAAAGATTAGTCTCTGTCCTCAGAATCAGCCGCTGTGCTCACATAAGAGTCCTGCTACAATCAGAATTGTGGACACTGTTTAAAATACTATTTTTACAAGGAATTTGAAAAAAAACAACAGAAGATTTTGTTCTAAATATACACTTTGGTATAAGCCAAATAAAAGCATCATCTCTAGTTAAAATAAATCTGCATACAGATAAGCCAATTTTAAGGTACTACAATTCACTTAAAATTGTAGCAAGACAATATTTACAGAAGTTAGTTCTCTATAAAGTATTTAACCCATTTTCCAGTTAGCTCATGAGTTACCACCCAATGACTTACGTGAATTGTTCAAAAATGGTGCAAAATCTGCGAACAAATATTTTATGTTGAAGATAAAAATGGCACAGCTGTGTTTGAGCATTTTCCTATTTACAAGCCATTTGTCAGCTGAGGCAGCAACTAGTAAGTAAATAGTCAGACATTCTCAGAATCACCTACAAGCAGGTCTTGCTGTCTAGTTTTAAAAAGGGGATACTTTGCTTCAGTTTTAGGAAAACGTGTTTGAGGCACATATATATATGAAAACTGCACTTTATAATTCTGCACACAGTGATATCCAAACAAAACCTTAGCACAAGTGACTTAATAGAGCTTTTTCAACCACTTCATCTGAAAACAACTATTTCAAAAATCATTACTTTAGGCAATTAAGATATGATAAATATTTACTGCATAATGTGCCACTGCCTCACATATCTCCTCTGAAAATCTCTGCAGTAAACAAGACGTGAGCTAGCCCAGGCTCCCGGGAGGTCCTCACAGCGCAGGCCGCCCGGGTGCGGCTCTCACACGTGCGCGCTGCCAGGCTACACCTTCACTAGCCAGGCCCTACATGCCTTACAAAGAATGGGTTTGGGTCCTTCTGAGTGTGAGGCCACAGAACGGTGCCTGTTACAGGGCGCTTAGCGGCCCCTTGGACGGCACGCAAGTGTAGCGCTTACTCAACTGAGCCGCAAGCACCTCGGTGCCTACTGCTCTTCTTCTTAGCTATGTGCTGTGCTCCTATATCAGACCGACTTCTACATCAGAAAGAAAAACACTTAGAAAATCAAGGTTAAATAATGTACAGAAGTAAGATTTTTTAATCCTGGATCGTCATGAAATTCTGTGAAGGCCAGCTGCACAGGGACAGTGTTCACAGCAAACTCCTAAACTTATTCACACACTGAATGTGACTCAAAACGTCCCTCGCCACTCTTTTGTTCCCCCTTCCTAAACTATGAAAGGGAACAGCACTGGTACCAACAGGCGAGCCACACCCTGCCTGCACCTGCGGTGGAAACCACACCCAGGCCCAGAAGGCTGGTTTAAAGTCTGCCGCCCAGCCCAGGAGTCACTTGTGGTGTCTCTCAGATGTACATGTTTAAATACAACACAGTGGAAGTTTGTCTGGCCAAAGTTACTCGCTGCATTGACAGCTAAAAAGATGCTATTTAAAAAGATGAGCCCACCACTATGTTTTTCTTTCTGTAGTTAGGACAGGGCCTACAGGGTGTCACTACACAGGTTGGACTCAGGGAGCCTCCTGTTTTCGGCCTGCCAAGTGCTGGGATCACAGGCGCGCACCCCCACACCCAGTCTCAGTCGCTGTCTCAGAACACCCCAGGGCAGGGCCGGCACGACATGCCAGGGATCAAACCCCGGCCACTGCACTCTGCCTAAGCAGGCACTTTAGTCCACTGAGCTATCTGGCCAGCCTGCCACCACTACTTTTTACACCACAAAGGTAACTTCGGGCAGAAACAGTACACATACAGTGACCTGGTGAGGGGCTATCCGATCATCTTAGGGGCAAAAATAAAACCGAGTAAGACAGAGCTGGTCACGGCGTCGCGTGGGCTTCCAACTGTGGTCTCTCCTGGCACCTCCTGAGGGTTACCTAGCGCCTGAGGCCCCCACTGACCAATTACTACCACCAACATCTTCCTCAGTAAAGACAGGACTGCCCTAAATCTACTCTCTGCAACAACTTAAACACTGATGTTATGCCATTTAATTAAGCTCAATTGTTGCTCTCATTTATTTGGAGGAATGCGAGAAAAGCAAAATGTAGCCCAAAGCTCATTTTCATGTGAACTTGAGTCCTATATTATTAATAAACTATGCTGTCAAGAATTGAGAACATACCCCTTAATAAAAGACCCTAAACCTGATGTCCCCTTGATGGTAACTGGAATAAATTATGGCAGTATAAAAAGCAGCAAGTTGAACAAATAAAATTCCGATTACTGCTTTAAAGATCGTGTGTGACATATGTGCTGAGTTCATGCTGGCACCTGTGCCACTTTTCCCATATTGTCTCAGTGTCCTCTATTTCCACTTTCAAGGACATACTCGGCCTCTAGCACAGCCGTGTTCAGCTGAAAGCCCCAATCCCGGCGGGTGGAGCCGCAGCTGAGCCAGGAGGCCTTCCTGAGCCTGCCCTGCCACGCTGCTATGCTCACGGCAGCGAGCCTGTCCCAACAGGGCTGCGCGCACGCACAGAGAGCGCACGCAGGAATTCCTGTCCTTTTCCAGGCCAAGCACCACTCTGGGAGGAACCAAGAGCACTTGTGCTTTCTGACATGAAAAGGAACACATTCCAAAGTTACGGGAAAATCCATTTTAAAAGAAGAAAAAACTTCAGTGATATCCTTTCAGCAAGTATAAACTCTCACTTGCACGGGCAGAACTCACTTCCCACGGCAGGCTAAAACACCACAGTCCTCTCCGCATTTCGCATGTGCTCCTGCTGTGCGCGGGTTTGTGTGAAAGTAACGCCAGGTACTTACAGCATTACCACCTAACTTCCTTAGTATGGGAAAAGATACAGAATTTATTTTAACAAGTAAATTCAATATATACTGACAAATATGACTTGAAAAACATTCAACAGAGCCTGGCAAGTACTGGGTCCTGAGTTCAATTCCCAGTACCACCAAAACAAAACTCAAGTCTTAGAATAAATCCTGAGGGGATTTGATTGACCTTATCAGATATAAAAGCTACAACTCTCGTTGCATAGGTCCTGCTTTACCTTGGTCTTAACCATCCAGCAGAAAAGTATAAAAACGAAGTATAAGAAGTAAAGCCATGCTGTTATGCTGAGCTGTAGGGGACTCAGGTCAACAATTTCTGACATTGCCAGTCAAACAGAAGACCCAATACTATTATGGGCTACTGGACTCTTTTAGAATATTTTGCTGAGTTTACACACCTATAATATTCAAATAACGGAACAAAAAAGGGGATACAGATGAATGTCCATTTTGTATCTGTGTATTCAAAATGGTTAGGACACATATATAGTTACATTCTCTTAATGAATAGAGTGATTTGTTCTAATGGTGTTTGCAGATAGGATATCATGTCTGCATCTTGTACAGCAATTAACCACTGGGAGGAATGTATGCAATGTGTTAATTATTGAAACTGTTCTACCAATTTGATTTGAAACTGTCTCATTGCTATTTGTTTCTCAATAAAATTATGGGGGAAAAACTCAATAGAAATACACTATGGAAGCCAGGTCAGCGTGGTTCTCCAGGTCCAAGAGGTCACAGTCCACAACAGAGACAACTTCTACTGAAGACTCCACCCAGCTGCCTGCACACAGTTACAGATATTTACCCACGTATACTTCAGAACGCTTGCAAGCACAGTTATCTTTACCGTAATCGGTCACAGACTTGGGCGCACGCTGCTCGGCTTCGGAGTTTCTCTTCTTGTTCTTGGATTTCCATGCGTGGTACACTTTGAGGCGCCTGTGAAACTCTTCCCTGCAGGCCGCCAGCAGCTCGATGTCTGTAGAGTGACAGAAAAAAAGGTACAGATGGGGTTGGCGCCCACCTGCTCACCTAACGTGCCTGTCCCCAGCACAAACACACCCCAAGCTTTGGTTTCCAACTGAATAGCACACAATCAAGTTACTCATACAGAAGAGCCTCCTCAGATTATCTTCCTATTCACAGGGCATGTCATCCAGACACTGGTACTCTGCTGTCACCTGCTCCACACACGACAAGTCCTCCAAATGGGAAGAATGGGGGCGGGGGACGAAGAACAGAAGGTCAGCGAGCCCAACATGAGGCAGACTCGCGCTCGCCCTTCTGCAACCAGGCGGACAACCTCACTGCGGGAAGAACAGCGCAGGGAGGTGCTGCATGCTGCTGCCTCCTTCCCGTCAGCACCCTGAGCTCCAGCCCTGACTTCAACAGCAGCACAACCACATGGGGTCTCCTGAATACACTTCACACAACTGTTCTGTCAAGAAACACAGCCTTCACAGGCAACAACTGCACTGCTGCTGCTGTTCCTCTGCATTCACAGCCAACAGACATGGGCAGACACCGCACGCTACTACAAGCACAATCAGAGGGGCAGCTCCACTCTGGCCCGCCGCCACCTGTAATCACTCTTCTTGGACCTTGGTAAAAAATAAGCAAAATGCATTTAATTTTAATAAGTATGTCATTATTTGGCTTTGTAAATCAACTGTGTCTTCATTTCAAGGAAGCAAGTAAGAGTGGCTTAAGCTAATTTACATAAATATGTCACTCCAGTCTATGAATTTATTGTATTAATCAGTAGCTAGGGGAGCAGTTCAGTGGTGAGGTCTTATCTGGTGTGCATGAAGCTCTAGGTTAATCAGCAGCACAGGACTGCCACAAAAAAATAATAAATGGAGAGGGGAGGGCAGGGCAGGGCAGGACAGGACAGGACAGGACAGGACTGGACCGCCCGTCTCCACCCACCACACACGTACCACAAGAAGTGTTGATGGTGTCACGGAGCTCTGCGTACTTCCACTTGCTGAGGTCGTGTTTCTTGGTGCCAGCAGCAGCCTTGGTGGCTTGGACAGCAGGGCCTCTGTAATTATTATATAAGTTTGCACACTGAAACTGGAACCAGTAGTGCAACATTGCCTAGGGAAGCAGGAAAATCAGCTGGGGAACTGGAAATAACTGCTAGAAGCATGAAGGTCTTAGAACGAGGGCTGCAGTGCAGCCCAGAGGCAGGGCAGGGCAGCCCAGCGTGTACAGGCCCTGAGCTTCCCAGCACCAGAGAAGCCCTAAACACGACACTCAGGATGCTCAGTAAACCGGAATTCTCCAGTGTGGCATCTGATAAACGCATCAGGCTTTATATCAACAACAGCACGGACTTCCCCTGCATTTGTTTAAATACAAACATTTAAAGTTGTAAAATATGCTTCTGTGTTGGGAGCCACTAACTGATCGTATGCGCGAGGGCAGCACAAGGCCAGAGCGCCTAAAGCTTCACGTGACACTGCGTCAGTCTCGAAAACCAGCATCCTGCCTGCTCATTTTCCGCCATTAGTCACCAAGCAACCTTGTGTCTCCCGATACTGACCCCGCAAAGGTACAAATAAACACCCCCACTGGGTTGTCAATCGATCAGGCCACAGGCCACCACCTGACCCAGCTCGTTTTCTTGTTTACCTTCTCCTCATTCCTGCCACTGTTTCTCCCTAGGGTGCCGGAGACACCAAGGAGTCCCTGCATTTAGTGTACGAGATAAGCAGGCAGCAGGAAGGCTTCCCCAGTGTGTGTGGAAGGGGAGGAAGTGCACCACTTGAGCCAGCAGCCAGCGCAGGCCTGCGGTGTGCCGGCACCTCGGGGGTCCAGCGTGGGGATGAGGCACACTAGAGCCAAATATGGGTTGACTAAGGCCAGAAAGAGAAATAAGCTTTGAGAAATAGGTTTGAGAGAAGGCAAAAAAGGAGAAAGTTATATAGAATTAACAGTTTCAAGAACCATAGGTGTTGGGCTGGGAATATAGCTAAGTGTCACGAGCGCCTGGCAAGCACAAGGTCCTGAGTTCAATTCTGGTACAAAAAAAAAAAAGAACCACAGACATTTATACAGCTGCCTATAAAAATGTTTGTTGCCTTCTTGGTTCTGATATTTACTTTGCTTTCTAAGACCACCACAAAGGACTCAGCATGGAGTACTATTTTAAAATCAAGTCTTGAATGGGACAAGGAAGGTGGAACACAGGTAACCACCAATGGAGTTTAAACCCTCTAGCTTTGCACAATTAGATAAAAAAGGAAAAAAGAATTATTTTAAATTGCAAGTGGAGGCCGGGGAGATAGCTCAGTAGAATAAGTGCTTGCCTGGCAAGCACAAGGTCCTGAATTCAATCCCTGGTACCGCAAAAATAGATAAATAAACAAACAAACAAACTGCAAGTGGCTAGTTCCAAGTGGCCTGCTGGAGCTGCTGGTGGGAGGGGCACAGGCTGGGTTCAGGGAGGGCCCACGTTCTGGTCCTAGGCAGACCGAGCTAGGGTTTCCCAGTTGCCTGTGCATCTACACACCTGGTCCAGCCACAGAGGGCTAAGGACTACGGCACATGTGGCCTCGGCAGTCGCCACACACGCTACTGCCACGGAAGATCTCTTTGCCTCATGATAGTGTCACCCCCAGCAAAAACAAAACATGCACTGGTCAGAGCCACAGCAACAGCTGACATACAGGGTGGCTGCACGCAGCAGCGGGCTACAGGCCACAGCCCGTGTCGCCTGAGGGGTGGGGCTGTGGGTCAGGCAGCCCACTCCCACTGCTAGCAGCTCACCCAGGCCTGAGGCAACAGGGCAAAAGCTGCGACTGCAGTTGGAGCCCCAGTGCAAACAGGTCTCCAAGTCTGTGCACTGTCATCGCTGCTGATGATACAGGGAAAGTCAGAATCATATTTCGATCTATTCAAAACACTGTTTAAATCAGTCCAGATTCTCCTATTGCTCAACTGGTCATTTTTTCTTTGACAAAAATTTAAAAATTAATGGGGCTGGCCAAATAGCTCAGCGGACTAAAGCACCTACCAAAGCAGGCACAGGGGCCAGGGTTCGATCCCCAAGCTTGTCATGCCGCTGAGATGGCAACTAGGACTAGGCGTGGTGGCATGCGCCTGGAATCTCAGCTCTTGGGAGGCTGTAAACAGGCAGATCACTACGAGTCCGATCTAGTAGTGAGACCCTGAACACCCGGTAGACCCCTCCCTAAAAATACAAAAAATAAATAAATAAAAATAAATAAACAATTAAAGAGAATATATTAGGTTAAAAAATAAAAATTAATTATTGAAAACAGAAAAAAAAAAAAAAGGGGGGCTTCCAAACAAATACAAGCCGGAAGAAAGGTGCTAGACTCCTGACCTGGAGGGACACAAAGGGCTGTTCCACCAAAAGCAGAGTCTCACAAAAAAGCAGAAAATTGGGCTGGGAATACAGCACAGTGGCCCAGAGCCTGCTTGGCAAATGCAAGGCCATGAGTTCAAATCCAATACAAAGAAAAGAAACAGAGTGGTTCTCTCTCCATTGCAACTGACAACAAAGGAGAAGCTTTTACATTTTCCCCTTAAGGTCATTCATTTTAAAGGCTGCTCCATTCTCAAGACAAAAAGTTTGCCTTTAGTTAAAAAAAAATCATATTTCCTTAAGATTTATAACAATGGGGCTATTTTAAAAGATTACTTAAAGCTCTCATGATTCCTAATAAGGCTGATTACCTGTTTCACAGTCTTAAATTAAACTGGCATAAAAAGGCTCTGATAGTTTACAAACAAATACAATAGAGGTTTAGAGTGCAACCTAAAAACAGTAAGATTTGGAACAGTGGCTTGACTTTGATGTCCCACGTAAACTGTGGCAGGCCCAGGGGTGGCCTCCAGCTGGTACAAGCTATGCCAGGCTATGATAACTTCTTCACATTTGGGCCTACTTACCCAACAAAAATACATCGTGCTCCAAACTATTCAGATCAATCTTTCATGATTTTCTGACTTTATTTGGTAATATTAATTGGCTCCATCCAGATTTTGGGCTAATTTCTCTGGTGTTACTAATTGCCATCATCCTTCAGATAAGTTAAATTAATTTGCTTTTCACAGATAGGTCATATTAGGTTAAGGGAGGCTGTGTGAGGGCTTCCTCTTCAAAAATATAGGATATAGGTTTCTCACCATACAATCAAAATATAATTACAAAAACAAAAGGGGGGATTAATTCATCCAACTTCACTTGGTGATATCTACCAACATTTTACAAAAGATAGAAGCACAGCAACAGAAAGGTAATTCAAGCAGATAAAGCCAAAAAAAAAGGTAATGTGGATAGAGGACATGCTTGTGCTTCTCCAGAGAATGCTCAAAGACCTATCTGGGTGCCACAGTGTGCCACTGTCAAGCTCTATCAGAAGCCAGGTCTTGAGAATAAGTTAACAACGATGAGGCTGGATTCGACTTGGGGCCAATAAAAGAACTGACAAAAAGAAAATCTAAAGTCTAAATACAACATATAGAGATAACTAAGCTGAAAATATTAAGACACAATAAAATACAAAAATGCATATTAATTATAAATAAAAGACTCTATTCCAAATTTTTCTCATAAGAGATCTCTGTTAATTGATAAATAACAATATGACTAGCTTATAATTATAAATATCTAAAAATTGTAATAGTCACTGTAATTCAATTTGGTCAGAAATACATTTGAGTGCACTCTGATTTTGCAAAGATGTTCGTTTGGGTATTCTGTGTATTTGTGTACATGTTTGTGTGTCTGTTATGGTTTGTATCTAGGTGTCCCCCAAAAGCCTTCTAGAGTTTGAGCATGATCCACTGGGATTATGGGTGATCCAAGGGTGGGATTATGGGTCTGAGTGCTACACCCAGCCTGAGGAAGAGAGCTGGAATGTAACGTGAGAGAGACAGACTTCCTCTCTGCTTTCTCCATCACCACTGTTGCTGCTACTCCTCCCAGGTGCTCTTGCTCTTTGCTGCCGCCATGAACTGCTACCCTCTGCCATGTGCCAGTCTGCCTTGGACCAGTCGAGTATGAACTGAAACCTCCATTCACTATGAGATAAATAAACCTTTCCTTCCTTCCTTTATTTTGCGTGTCTGATATTCGTCCCAGCAACAAGAGAAGAATAACTGGGACAGGTCATTCTGTGAACAGCTGTTTCTCTTTTATTTGAGTTCAAGTTTTTCTCTTTTTGATTATTTGTTCCCAATATAATTTGGAATACAGACTTAAAAGCATGCTTTCTTCTGAGTTACCAACTGGTCTAAGTGGTATCAAAATTGGTTTACTCACAGGTTATCAAAAAAATTGAGATAATTAACAAAAATTCCTTACAGCGGGGAGAGACTGTTGGACAGAACTCCATTTGGTGAAGAGAGGAGTGACCAACCTTTACTCATTAAAAAGGAGCCCCAATAATATCCACAGTCTCTTGGGAACCATCTACAATAATGGGTCATTGCAAAAGATAAAAGTTTTTCAGGAAAATTACAATAAAGTTTTCATATGTATATGGCAATTCATTGTAAAGTTCATAGTGTATTAAATGTATTCATAATTCTAGATGTACTTCCAAAATGTAAAACAAAGACTGTGTCTTGTGATAAGATGTTTCTTGCATATCTCATTAAAGGATGACAAATTAAGTAAAAGCTTCTTATTTATTAAGTAGAGATCATGGTTAAGAAGGTATGTTATGTCAAAATGAAAATTTCTGTCACAAAATGTCATCAGGATTGTCATGCTGCAAAGTTATAAAAGGTTTTGATCTCTGAATTTATGTGTAAAAATATATAACTTGTCTGTTAACATTCTAAAAATAAAGATATTCATATTAGTTAGAAAATAACAGTTCCATTTTATGTCCAAGATGTTTAATATTCAGACAGCAAGTAGTGATAAGCTTACTTCCTATATTACCCAGTAATGTCATTAAGCTTCTCTTCTGCATGTTTAACAACTGAGGTTTGGAGACCAAAACTTAGAGAGATGGCTAAGAGCATAGCCAATCTTTCGGCCCATTCCTCCAAGGTCAATGAAGACTCAGGACATTAAAAAAAAACAAACCAAAAAAAAAAAAACAAAAAAAAAAAACCCTATACTGTCACATCCTGTAACTTAGCTGAGCCTCTGATTTTCTTTTTTTTCTGGTGGAACCTGGGATTGAACTCAAGCCTTTGCACTTGCCAGGGAAGCGCTTATTCTACTGAGCCATCTTCCTGGCCCCAAGCTCTCTGATTTTCTGATGAAGATCATTATTGATGGGACCACAGAGGAAAGTGATCAACAATATATAGTGTGCTTAAAGAGAGTCACCTAGAGAGAAAACCACCTCAAGCTTTCACAAAAAAAGAACTTGATCAAGCAATGGCTGTGATTCATCCAGATGGCTGACACTGCCAACAAGATTTAAGAGGTGCTCTACATGATTCCGAGGTAAATCCTGAGACTGAACTGAACTTGTCAGATAGTAAAAAGTTCTTTTTTTATTTATAGGTTCTGCTTACACTTAGTCTTAATAATCCAGCAGGAAAATATAACAATGAGGTGTAAAAAAGTAACGCCATAATAATATGCTAAAGTATAGAAGGTTCAAATCAGTAACTTCTTACAACTGCCAGCTGTACTGACAATTCACTGTTAGGGACTACTGGATTATAGGCTTAATTTGTTAACTGTATACTGGCATCAAAATCCATGGACTGGCATCAAGAATACAAAGGTCTTCTACAGAGTTCTCCAAACACGGCTTCTCCAACTGCAGACGAATACCCATCATTCATGCCACAAGGGAGAGAGGCTGGGAGCCACTAAAACTGGAGACTGGCCATACGTAGGAGGGCAAAACAAGGCCAGGGTACCTAGAGCAGACGAACTACCTCAGTCCCAAAAAACATCCTGCCAGGGCAACATCAGCTATTAGTCACCAGGCAACCTTGTGTCTCCTAACACTAACTCAGCAAAGGTATAAATAAACATACCTACTGCTGATCTTGGGGTCATTTACCATCAGGCAAGGGACCACTGCCTGACCTAGCTGTTGTCTTCCTCTCTATCTTTTCCTCATGCCTGCTTCTGTTTCTCCCCAGGGTACCAGAGACAGCAACAAGTCCCTACATTTACATTTGTTTTTCAAAATCAAGAAAAAAATTCTCAGCAGGCGGAAGACTGTGAGCAGCATGCCCGTTGGTGGCCTATCCTTGAGCCACAGGGTACACAGCGCCATCACCGGCAGAGACATGGGACAGCATGGCCACGCACACTCCTGGCCTGGCACCTCCTGGGCATCGGGCATTCACGAGGGCACACAGATGGGCCCACTGAGATGGTGGCAGCAGAGCCCATGAGACAGGCCGCAGGCCCTTGGAGAGACACACAGAGGCAGATGGACCACGGCCCCCCTGGGGAGTCCTAGTGACCACCAGCCCCGCAGGATGCTTCACAAGGCTCACACTGTGTGCGCCAAGGGCCAAGTGTCCCGTCTCTCCCCGTGTAGGAGGATCTGGATGACAGAAAGGTGTAAGTGTCACAGCTCAAGGACTTGTGGCCAGGCTGAGGTCTCACTCTGTCTGAGATCACTCATCAAACAATATACCAACATGTCTTTCTTTAAATGCATTTAGTGAGGGTGTGTGGGGTCTCACTATGTAGATCGCACTTGCAGCGATCCTCCTGTCCCCAGCCTCCCAAGTGCTGGGATCACAGGTGTGCGCACCACGCCCAGTCTCAGTCCCAGCTCAGCGCACCCTAGGGGCAGGGCTGGCATGGCATACTGGGGATGCACCCCAGCCCCTGTGCTCTGCCTAAACAGGCGCTTTAGTCTGCTGAGCTCTCTGGCCAGCCCTAACATTTCTTCTCTGTAATAATGAATGTTATTTTTCAGCCAAGGATTATACTTTGCACATGACAGAAACTTAGGAGCAAGTCACAAGGTTTTTAAGCTCAATGTCACATATAAAAAGTTTAAAAAGCACATCAGATGTCAAAACAGGAGGAAGTACAAATGTTATAACAACTAAGTACTGAAGAAATGAAACTGCTTCCTGCATAGCACATAAGCAAGTCTCCCTCATTACCTACTACTGCAAAAACATGTTCTTCCTCCTAAGGAGAAATATACTACTTGGAAATAACTATCTACTTCTATGACTTTATAATTGGAAAGATAACATCAATCCTAGCAAAGAGTCAAAATACAGATCACTTAATACAACTAATGCTACTGAAAAACTAAATTGAAGCTAGTTGTGGTAGTGCAGGCCTGTAATCGCAGCACTTCAGGGCCCAGGTGGGAGAGTCCCGCGGTCCAGGCCAGCCGGGCACTCTGGTCACTTTACAGGATCCTGCCTTAGGACAGGGGAACTACACAGAGCTGTGGGGACAGCTCAGTACGCAAGCCCCGGAGCAGTCTCCAGAAATGCCCCTCCTCAGTCACACGACAGAAACTTGGAATAATGTTACTGTCTTCCTCAAGTGAAAGAAATTACTTTCGCTATTAAGCGTAAAATGAAGTAAATAAGGGATCTTGGCTGGGGAGACAGCTTAGCAGCACCTGCCTGGCAAGTGCGAGGTCCTAAATTTGATCCCCGGCCCAGAAAAACTAAAAAAAGGAATCTTGGCCTCTTTAAAAGGCTTATGGGTACTTTCATTCTAAAGAACAAAACTGGTGTATTTCATACTGCATAAAGTATTTCTGTCGGAAAGAACTGTCAGTTACACACAAGACTAGCTGAACAATAACAAGTAGCCATTAGTACTTCCTGTGTTTTTATGGTTAAAATTTGGCTTAGGTTGACTACAGAATCTATACTCTTCATAAGCAGTGTGACTGGCAATTTTCCACGTAGCTTTTTATTTTTACTTTGCTCAAAAAAGCCAGCTGTATGACAGCAAGCTCTCTCTGCTACTCTTAACAGTAAAGCATGTTTCAACTCTTATTGAAGTATTTATATAATATAAATATGATATAATATAATATAATATAATATAATATAATATAATATAATATAATATATATCCCATTCAATCAACTGACCAAAAAAATTTTTCTCTTTTTTCCCATCTCTTTCAGGAGTCTTTTCTAGGATGACAACTGAAAATTATGGGTTTTGTTGTTGCTTTGTCTTTTTCTTGAAAGGGAAAGTTGATTTACATAATATACAGTTTTACAGAGGGTCTGAATATACAGTTTTTAAAAACATTGAATCTGAATTATTACTGCTTAAAATATCATTTTAACAGCACCAGCTTTTCACTCACATTATTCAAACAAAACTACACCTGCTAAGAAACACATTCAGCCTCGGCAGCAGCACATGAAGGCTAAATGCTCCCCACCTTCGACCCTGGAATTATCAGAATAGGAAAGCAAAGTGTCATTACTGATTATTAAACTTGCGACACAGACAATCATAGCAAAATTGACTTGATTTTTAAAAATGCTTTCAGCAATTTTAATTAACTTGTAACTTCAAAACCGAAGATCACAATGTTACTGATTGACACCCACTTTAAAGCAAATGGGCCATGACTGCCCAAAAGCCACTTGCTCTGGGAACGCGACTGGCACCAGCACTCCTCACCGCGGCTGCGGGGCAGAGCCTGGCACAGCCGCACGCTCCCTTTCCTCCCGTCAGAGAGGCAGGCAGACGCCCACACTGGGGCTGGGAGAAGCACCCCTGCCAAGCCCATGAGGAACAGCACAGGGGCCCCAGGGAAGGGCAACCCCCAAAAGGTTGCTTTTTCTCTCGCTATGGCAGGACAGTAGGAGAGAAGTAACAACATCTTGCACAAAAGTTATGTGGACAGAATGGGCTATTTATACAAGAGGATCTAGTCCAATAATCAGCAGTGATTTTAATGTATGATTTTGAAGTGAACATACTTCCCCAAATACAATGCACTGACCTACACAAAAGCTCTGACATTTCGCTGGCCATTTGTTCCCTGTAAGAAAAATGATTAAAACACTGTAGTTATACACAAAGCAGATTACATAAATTGCTTAAGACACCTCAAGCACAATAAAAATTTTATTTTACTATATCCATTAGCCATTTACCATCATCTTTGTAAACAGCCTACAATATACTTTTAAACAAATCCATTAATAAAAATGGCAACATTTTCACCTAAATAAAGTTAAAACTGCTTGAATGCACCTCACTTTTGTGATGCACACTTTTACAGGAAAACTCAGAAGAGCCGCTCTGCTTCTGTGGCTTTCACGCAGAGAACACAAGCAGCACATTCTAAACCCACACCAGAAGCCCGGGAGGACGTGGTCCCACAAAGGCCGCCGCACCAGAGCTGCTTGCTAAGTATTAATCAGATGAGGCGCGACAGTGGTAAACCACACTGTTGTCTTCCACAGAGCTTAACTAAGAACCTGATGTATTCAAAGCTCTAAAATTACAAATCAAAGCATGTTTTTAAAAAAGAAAAAAAAAATCAACGTAAGCAGTTAAGTGAAAGACGCATTTTAACCTTCCAAGGATAAATACTTTCCAAAAGCAAGAACTTACTTTTCTTTTATTACCCAGGAGAACGGAACTCGTCTCCATTCTGGCTTACTTCTAGAAGGCTGTGTTGTGCTCACGAGCACTTGGTTAAGGAGGTCCCCTACTTTGCTGGCTAGCCCCGCTCCGCTCCCCTCTCGGGAACCACCTCTCCTTCACCCAGAGCCCACTGGGCTCCCAGCCTGCAGAGAGGAGGTGGGCGCTCGGCTCAGGGCGCCCACGCAGGCGCGGCACCTCTGCGCCAGCGTCCTCACCGCCACGCGGGTGAGCAACTCAGAAAGGCAACCTTCCCTACCTTAGAGAAAGAACGCAAAGGAACCCCACACAAACACCGCTGGCACAGACTGTCCTGTGAGCTACACGCACATCAGCAATCTCTCCTGCAGCTCAGGGAGCGCTCCACCGTGCGAACCTCCCACCCCAGGCGTGCTCTCTCCGCGGCCCACCTGCGCTCGCCCTTCTCCTAAAGCCTCCTCTGCCTTGTCTCTGAAGGCGGCAGCTCGGGCAGGCGCCCTGCGCTCTGCAGAGCCACAGCGACCACGCTACCGCACGCGACTGTCGCTCCGCTGGGCCACACTCCCTGACTCACGCCCAGTGTTGCAGAACCCGGCCCGCCACACAGCACACTGTTCCCCGGGCAGAACTGGCCTGCACCTTGAGGCGCTTTTCTCCATCTGACTGTGCTAAACCGCATGCAGACATTGACAACTGGCATCAGACACCAATGCAAGACTGACCCAGTTCAAGCTCAAATGGTACCCTGAAGCGGCTGTCCTCATGGAGAAAGGAGAGGCAGTGCCTGCTCGTGGATATTTTGGGAAGTTTCGGTGCTGCTGAGGTGACCAGGTGGGTGTGTGCTCTGGGCAAGGGCTGAGATGTGGATTAGGAATGCTAAAAGCCCTGCATAGGAGGAACAGTACCGTAATCTACATGTCTTAACACTTCTGCCAGACTTACAAAGTAAAACACACACATAACATGTCCACCAAGCTTTACGTGTAAACAAATGTTTCTGCGTAGTTTCAGTAGTTTTTCTAGGAATGCACGCACTGTGTAACTGAGAAGCAATCTATGCTCAGCTCTGTTTGGAATCTAAGTCACAAGTGTTCCCAACTCGTGGCCTGCGCTCCTGTATGCCTTTCATGTGCAGCTGAGGCACCCGGGGTGATTCTAGGCACAAATACGAGACAGCTGACGGTGTCTTCCACTGTAACCACACAAAGCACTTTCATATCAAACTAAATTAGTATTTTATTATAAATAATGCTTTTATTTCTCCTTTATGTGTACTTTTGGAAAGAATTCCTGTTATTTACCTAGTTTACATCATTTATAAAATGTTTTTTATTGGTACTTAAGTCTGAGTTGAAAATAATCACTACAAAGATTATAGTGGAGTCCTTAAAACTCAAAATTCTGATTTATATATTCTAAAATATTTTACTTATGTATAAAATATATTTTATTTATATTCCAAATGTTAATAGATTCTATCTCTAGGAAGACTTACATACAAAAAAGTAACAGGATTACAATCTACTTTAAATAGTAGAATTAACTATCATAAATATTGAAAACTAAGTACACTGCTGATTCTAATTTATTCCTCCTCACCTGCAACTACGAAGATGTAAGGTAAGGGCTAAAAGCATGTAAGACAGAGCAGTACTGCCCAGGGAAATGGCTCAGCAGAGTAAGCGCCTGCCTGGCAAGCACCGGGTCCTGAGTTCAATCCCCAGTACCGCAAAAAAACAAAAAAAAAAGGAAAGAAACAAAGTTCCTACATCCAGTGGAATTCCCCATCAAAGCAGCACTACAGTTTAAACAAAGACTACACACAAAGGGAAACCGAGTCATAAACTACTGTAATTCAGCACTGAACATCTTCCCCAGGAAATAAAAGAAGGATTTATCTTATTCTTTTTGTAAGAAGGAAGTAACCTAAAATTTACTCCCAGAAACAAACTATTTCTCTTTCCAAAGTATCCACAAGCTATTTTTTAAAACGTAAAGGGAGATGACATACGGTGTCATTTTGGGTCTTGTTCCATCCTCTCTGTGGAAAGAATACATTTCAGTTAATATCATGGCCAACACTGACTTGTAAAAATCTCAGCTGTGTAAATGTATGGTGTTATTACTTTACTCACTGATTTAAAAACTTCAATCACCTCTAATCCACATAAAATCATTCAGAATTTTGGTGCTTTTTAAAAATCTTATAAGTATTATAAATCATTAATTATAATTATTATAAAGGAATAAATTATCTTCAGTAAAAATTAAAGAGCAAATACATCTAGATTGGAAATTTCATATACTGTGAGATTCATTTCTAAAAGAGTCTGGGTATTAATTTATAATTTCAGGTAAGTTTAAATCATCACGTTCATCAAGGGTCATGTGTAATTGATTAGGATTATATTTTAAATGTGGAAAACAATTCTTACTTAGAAGTTATGTGGCAGGAATACAAGCTGGAAAAATAACTTACAGTTTTTACTGAAGCAGAATCCATCGACCGGCATTAATATGTCACAAAACCCAAGAGCAACCTTGACCTCTAACAGGTTTCCTTGGAGAATTATCACACATAAGCATGGTACAGAAGAACTCGTTGCGGGTAAAAGCAAAAGAAATGCTTAGCAATGTTCACGTAGAGCCCACTGCGTAAGGCCCAGCTAGCACCAGGGAACATCTGCCAGAGCACCCTCATAATGAAATGCTGGAGCTCATGGCCAGAGCGGGACAGAGCCCAGGAGGGGAAGCTGCCAAGCAGGCCGCAGGCCGCAGGCCGCAGGCTGCAGGAGAGCGTGAAAGCCCGCACAGACAACCAGGACTCACGCTTCAGCCTTCCGGGGGCTGCACAGCGCCCCTGTGGCCTCACGACCTGGCTGAGGTGCGGCACAGTGCCTCCAAGCCTGGCCTGGCTCAGGGACAGTCACCCTGGGACAGGCACCTTTCTGAGACAGCCCGGGACTGCACAGGCAGAGCGGCCAATGTGAGCCTGGTGTTCCTCACATACATAAGCACAGCAGTGCGTGCCAGGGATGTCAGGGATGCCTCGGGACCACACCCCTGCAGGGGCCTAGCCTCAAAGCGCAGCAGTAATGGGACACAAGCTAAGAGCCCACTATGGATCAATGCCCACTATAGGGCCTCGGGCCTACAGTCACAGCATGACTCCCGGGGATGTACAACTCAGGCTCCGAAGGTTCTCAAGTAGTCACAGCAAAGCATGTGAGGGCAACTTCACACACCCTTTGCCTTCCCATCTATGCTTTCAGCTAAAGGAAATCTAACAAATTAAATTGAAATTGCTTTATAATTTAAATCCAGGTTGTTTCTTCCTTTTGAAAGGAAATGGCTCCCTCTAGTGGTTGTAATTTAACAATACTGGTGTTTCTGTTTGTTTCTGGGAGTTTTTTGGGTTTTTAGACACATGGTCTCCCTTCGTAATTTAGGCTGGCCTTGAACTCACTATGTAGCCCAGGCTGGCTTCCAACACATAGCAACTCTCCTGCCTCTGCCTCCCGAGACTGGGATTACACACATGCACCACCACACCTGGCCTTCTGGTTGTAAGCTGTATTCGGAGGTTATACACGCTGAGTGTTGCTCAGCACACACAGCACGTGTATCTACATGTGGAGGGGCTCTGACAGCTAGTTTTGCCTTCTTTTAACAAATAAAGAAATCCAAACACATGAGCATGGTGGCACACACCTGTAATAGCAGCACTCTGGGCAGATGAGACAGGAGGATCACAAATTCACCTCAGCATGAACAATTTGGTGATTTACATCAACCTTGCCTCAAAATTTTTTTAAATTGTGAAGGAGCTTGGGATGCTGCTCAGCCCAGAGAGACAGCTCAATTCACAGCACTGCCCACACCAAAAAGAATCAAAAGAGCTGCTTCTATATTCTTTTAAAAAGATTAAAAATAAAATAAAAGCAATTAACCACTAGGAAGAATGTATGCAGTGTGTTAATTATTGAAACTGTCCTACCAATTTGATTTGAACTGTCTCATTGCTATTTGCTTCTCAATAAAATTATGAAAATAAAATAAAAATACATAATTGGGCCAGGGAGATAGCTCAGCAGCACAGCACCTGCCTGTCAAGCACAAGTTCCTGAGTTCAATTCCCAGTACCAAAAGAAAAAAGAAAAAAAAGATCAGCATTTCCAAACAAGATGATAGGAAACTAACAATGGTTATTATAGCGTGTATTATTATCTTCGAAGTAGCTGCTCAGATTATCAGATACACGCATGCAAAAATGATCAAACAGTGTAAGCACTAATTGTTCCTTTCAATAAACTAATAGAAATTAGTAGTGCAATTATCTGAGCTATCTTGTGTATATTTGGGTTTTCTGAGACAGGGTATGTCTCACTACAAAGCCCCGGCTGGCCTGGAGCTCAAGGCAATCCTCCCGACTCAGCCTCCCAAGAGTTGGGACTACAGGCATGTGCCACCACATTCAGTTTATAGTCTAAGCCTATATGAAAAAGTCTAAGTCTATATGAAAGTCTATATGAAGTCTATATGAAAAAGTCTAAGTCTATATGAAAAATAACTATACTTCATACAAAATATTTCCTATCACTTCCTACAAAATATTAACAATCCATATTTTTTCTGCTCCCCTATAATGTTTACAGAGCATTCAGAAATCTGAGAAGCCCAACTGTGATTAACCTGTTTCAGGAAAGGAATTCCCTAACACTGGGGGTTAACATTCCCTCAAGTGCTCAGGTAAGTGAGACATTAGAACAGAAGCCTAACCTCAAATACACCAAACTGCACTTCTCTCCACGTTAAGCTGCGCCTAGAACCACATCTCCACCCGATGCACACACACACTCTTCCGTACCCGATTCACGGGGCACCCCCGTTCTGGGGAGATTCACGGGGCACCCCTGTCCTGGGCACTGCGCGGAAGGTGAGCCCCGCCCGCCCGGGGCCAGAGCGCGGCCGTACCTGCGCAGTGCGGGGTCTGCTGGGGCATCCTCGCTGATGAGCTCCGCCTCGCTGCGGGCAATGCGCAGCGCCAGCTCGCGGTCCCGGCGCTCCTGCTCCAGCACGGCCTGCTGCTGCGACTCCTCGGCGCGCTGCTGGGCCAGCTGCTGCTCCACCTCGGCCTGCGGGCGGGCGCAGAGGGCAGCGGTTGCTTGCGCGGAGCCCTGCCCGGCCCCACGGCCGCGCCACGGGTGCCCACTCTTCCGGAGCAAGAGGGTGCGAGGACCCCAAAGTCCGGCGACTCTGGGCGAGCACGTCAGGCATGCGCGCCCCCCTGCTGCGTTGGCTGCGACACGCACGCTGCGGACACCACGAAGTCGGGTGCTGGTCACCTGGGGCCTACCAGGGACGCCTGCGCAAACACGCGCAAGCTGGGGCGCGGTGGAGGGCATCAGCACCAGGGAACACACGCATGCTGCGGACACCGGGAAGTCGGGTGCTGGTCACCTGGGGCCTACCAGGGACACCTGCGCAAACACGCGCGAGCTGGGGCGTGGAGAAGGGCATCAGCACCAGGGGACACACACGCTGAGGACACGGCGAAGTCGGGAGCTGGTCAACTGGGGCCCACCAGGGACGCCTGCGCAAACACTCGCGAGCTGGGGCGCGGTGGAGGGCATTAGCACCAGCGCCTGCAGCTGTAAGACCTCGGAAAACATGAAAGTGTGTTCTGCGGCCCTACCTGCCCTCCCGAGAAGCAGCAACGCTAGCACTGACTGACCCGGCTCCACACAAGCTGCCGGATCCAGCTGCTGTAGGAGAAGAGCTGGGGCTCCCGGTCACTCACGGCCACTGCCTCGGCTCCCACAGGAGACAGGGCCGGATGGGAACTCGGGCCCCACCCTCCGAAGCCAGCCTGGGACCACTGCAGACACTGCCTTTGGCCCAGGGACTGAAATGGCACTAGCTCAGTGAGCAAATCCAGTCAAGCGCTTATCCTACTGAGCCATCTCCCCGGCCCCCAAATCAAAAATAACATTTACCTAACACAAATTATTTTTGTACTTACAGTATCCTTTCAGGAAGAATATTACTTTTTTTTTTTCTTGTGGAACCAGGGATTGAACTCAGGCCCTTGCGCTTGCCAGGGAAGCGCTTATTCCACTGAGCCATCTCCCTGGCTCCTAGCACGCAAATCCAAACCTGACTTCCACTTTTGAAACTGTGTAGATTATATTCTGATAGGAAGTCCACTCTGTACGTACAAACCTGAATTCGTCTTTCATCATCTTCCCTTTTCTTTCTTTCTTCTTCTTCTTGTTTTCTCTTTGCTTCCATCTCAAGTTTCCTTAAAAAAAAAATCCCCAAGATTCTTCAAATATAACAGCAAATAAATTCTCCACTGGGCAAATTAACTACTAATACACAAGGTAACAGTGGGAACTTAAACCAACCTGTTAGCCACATACATACTGACTTATTTTGAATAAAATACAACCTAATGCTACTGACAGTAATTCTCAAAGCGCACAGATTGTATTACCATTAACGCCTCCAGATGACCTTGAATGTGAAGCCTACCTGCAAGGCCTTAGTTATGGTAATTCCTTCTTTTCCCTCTCCAACTGGACAACACACATTCATTCTCCTTATGTATCAGGGGACTCTTCCAAAATGCTACCAGCTTTAAAATTACAGAAAAGTACAAGTGCCTCTTGCTACCTTATAAAACAATAAACAGGTCATTTCTAAGGAGGAGAAGGAGAAGAGGAAGAGGAGGAGGAACAGGAAGAAGGAGGAGAAGGAAAAGAGGAAGAGGAAGAGGAGGAACAGGTAGAAGGAGGAGGAGGAACAGGGAGAAGGAGGAGGAGGAAGAACAGGGAGAAGGAGGAGGAGGAGGAACAGGGAGAAGGAGGAGGAAGAACAGGTAGAAGGAGGAAGAGGAGGAGGCAGCGGTGGCAGCGAACAGTTCAGATTTCAAGTTCTGAAATATTTTCCTACACTTTGCCTGGCTGCATATGACAAATCCAAAAGTCCCAATTAAAAAGTCATGCTACAAATGACAAACCCACAGCCACTGGCATAACAATTGGGAGAACCTGAAAGTATTTCCTCTAAAGCCAGGAACTCTTGCTGCTCTTCCTAAATGGACCACTACAAGCTTCAGCCAGAGCAATCATGAGAAGGAAACAAAAGGCATACAAACAGGAAAGGCAAGAGTCAAATCACCCTTGTCTGCAGACAATACAATTCCCTGCTCAGAAAACCCGAAGCTCCCTTAAGGACTATGGGCACTGATGGGTGCATCCAGTAAAGCAGCAAAATACAAAACCACAGAGAGGGCTGGGGAGACAGTCCGGTGGTCTAAGGGCCTGTCCTGCTGTCCACTGAACCTGGGCGTGGTGGCGCACCTCTAATCCCAGCACTCAGGAGGCTGAGACAGCAGGATCACTAAGGGTCCGAGCTGCAGAGTGAGACCCTATACCAAATAAGATTTTTTTAAAAAATCAAAACCACAAAAAGTCAGTTGCTGTTCTATGCACTGACGAATTTCCTGAGAAAGAAACTATGAGAGCAATTCCACGCACAACAGACTCATAAGAAATAAAATACCTAACTTTAACTGTGGAAGTGAATGAGCCCCACAGTGAAGAAACCCTAAACAGTGGAGAACAATACTTGGACAGATTTTCATGGACTGAAAAAATGAACATCGCTAAGATGTGCAGACTACTCAAAGTAACCTGTAGATTCCTGCAATCTCCATCAGAACACCAGAGACATTCTCCACAGAATTCGAAAAGACAACTCAGATAGACAGATAGACAGATAGAGAGATAGGTAGGTAGGTAGGTAGGTAGATAGAGATAGAGATAGAGATAGAGATAGAGATAGATAGATAGATAGATAGATAGATAGATAGATAGATAGATGAACGGACAGACAGACAGACAGACAGACACGGAAGCACAGAAGGCCCTGAATAGCCAAAGCAGGCTTGTTCAAAGACAGCAAAGCAGGCAGGAACATCACAACACCTAACTAATACCAACCAGTACACACTACAGAGCTACAGTAACCAAAAGCGTAGTACTGGCATAAAACCAGAAGCCCAGAGGAGCTGGGCACTGGGACACATTCCTGTAGTCCCAGCACTCAGAAAGCTGAGGCAAGAGGAGGCCCAAGTTCAAGGCGCATGGCAGCCTAACTTACATAGCAAGAGTTCAAGGCCAGCCTCAATTAAGTAACAAGACCCTGTCTAAAAAAAAGGAAAAAAAAAACAAAACAAAAAAAAACTATACAACAGAAAAATAGACTAGAACAAAGAAGTCCACACATCAAAAGCCAGCTCTTGTTGATTCTCAACAAAAGTGCTAAAATATTCATGGGAGAAAAAGCAAGCTCTTTAACAGTGCTGGAGAGACTGGATCTCCACACACAGAACAATGAAACTTGACCCTACACCTCACATCCTGTAAAACAAAATCAACTCCAAAAGGAAGGAATAGAAGGATAGAAAATAAGGACAACAAAAGAAGGCTGAAATCTAGCAGGGCAGGCACTGAGTCTGTTATCTGTGCCATTGTACCTAGGAATTATGTAACTTGTTTATTATGTTCACAGTTAAGAGTCTGCCTTGAGAGACTTTGGCTCAGGCTTTTTGAAAAGTACTGTAGAGAAATTGGGGAAGGAGTAATTATGTTTTGACTTTAAATAGGACACTTATAGCTTGCTGGGTTAAATTATTAAATTGTTGATGTATTTGGAGGTTAAAAAATAAAATAAAGTACAAATATCACCTAAAAATAAACCAACCCTAAATGGATCAAAGATCTCAATGTAAGACCTAAACTGAGAAGATGAGGAAACACTTCATAACACTGGTACAGGCACTGATTTTTCTGAAGACGCCAAAAGATGAGGTGGGCAGCAAAATAGGATCACATCAAACTAATGTTTGTGTACAGCAAAAGAAATCATCAGTAAACTGAAAAAACAACCCACAGAATAGAAGAAAATACTCACTAGCTGTTCACCTAAGACAGGCTTAATATCTAGGATATATAAAGACTCAATAGCAAAGTAATCTAATTTTAAAATGGACAAATAATCTGAAAAGACACTTCTCAAAAGAAGAAATACAAATGACCAGTGAGTATATGAAAAAACACTCAATATCATTAGCCACCAGGGAAACGCAAATCCGAAGTACAAAGATACACTGTCTCACCCGGGTTACAATGGCCACTATAAAAAACAGAGTAACAAATGTTGAGAAAAGGTAAATCATACATTATTACTGAAGAATGTAAGTTAGAGAAGAGCTACCACAGAAATCAGAGGTGGAGTGTTAGGCTGGCATTCAAATTTCCTTTTTTTTTTGGGGGGGGGGAGGGGTCTGGCTCAGCCTGCCCTGAGGGCAGGGCTGGCACAGCATGTGGTGCCAGGGATCGAACCGTGGTCCCCTGCACCTACCTAAGCTTGCCTAGGCAGGTGCTTTAGATCACTGAGCTATCTTGCCGGCCCCCTTCATTTTGATTAACACATGCTAAGTGTATACCTAGACAGGAGTCACTGATACTTGTCCACATGCACACAGTGAGCCTGCGTCCTACTCAAGCTGCCCTAGGCGCCCAAGAACAGATAAATAGGTAAGGAAAATATGGCATATATATACACAGGGGAATACTATCCCATCATAAAGAATACAGCTGGCATGGTGGTACGCGCCTGTGGCTGGGCCAGGAGGATAGCCAAGTCCAAGCCCGGCCTAGGCAGCAGATTGACTTAGCGATCCTGTCTCAAAATAGAAAGTATTTTGAAAGGAGCTGGGGACATAACTCATTGTTCCAGCCACGGAGTCAATGCTCAGTACTGAAAAATAAAGGGGGTGAGGGGTGGGATCTACCTTTTACAACAGAATGGATAGAGGCACAGGTCATGTGTTAAAGAAAACAAGCCAGATAAGGACAGACAAGCACCGCATGCCCTTGCTCATATGTGGAAGCTTTCTAAAAATGTCATCCTGAAAATCCAGTAGTGACTACTCAGGCCTGGTGCACAGGGAGAGGGAAGGGGAGACTGGGTGGGACGCAGGCTCACTGCATGACATGCGCAAGTGTCAGTGACTCCTGTGAGATATGCAATAGGTATGCATTAAATCAAAGTAGGAGGAGGGCCAGCTATAAAGCTCAGCAGATTAAAGCGCCTGCTTAGACAGACACAGGGGTCAGAGGTTCGGTGCCCCGCTACCCTACCAGCCCCACCCCCAGGGAACACTGAGACAGGGATTGAGACTGGGTTTGGTGGCACGCACCTGTAATCCCAGCACTTGGGAAGCTGAAAACAGGTGGATTGGGGCCGGGGAGATGGCTCAGTAGAATAAGCACTTGCCTGGCAAGCGCAAGGGCCTGAGTTCAATCCCCGGTTCCGAAAAAAAAAAAAAAACAGGCGGATCACTACAAGTACTACGAGTCCAATCTGTGTAGTGAGACCCTGCACTAAATAAAAAAAAACAAAAACAAAAACAAAAACAAAAAAAAAAAAAAAAAAACCAGGAAGCCTGAATGCCAACATACCACTGAAAGTTCAGACTTTCAGACTTTGGAAACTACTCCACCTGTAGTTAAAATCCTTCTCAGTAATAACATTTTAAGTAATTATTACAAAAGTAGCTTATATTCTATTTTCAAATTTATCCTAAAATTAATCCATCACAGTAAGAATGTGAGTCTAGGCGCAGTCTCAGGGCGCCACCCACAGCGAGCCTCCCTGCGCCCCCGCCACACAGCGCTTACATCCTCCGCTCCTCCTCCTCCTTCCGACGGCGGCGCTCCTCCTCCTCGCGCCGCTTTCTTTCCTTTTCCATTTCTTCTTGAATTCGCCGCAGCCTCTCTGCCTCCTCCTCCTGCTGCTTCTTTTTCTGCAGCGCGCTGAGAAGTTCCTCCGAGCTCCGGACCAGCGCGTCGTACTCCTTCTGTATCTGCTCCCTGGTCATCATCGTCGACTTGGAAGAGCGAGCACACAGTGACTCTCCCTCCTCGCGCATCTCGTGCACATCACTGCTGAGCCGCACACGCAAAAACCGCTCGAAAGGGCCGGCCAAATAGCTCAGCGGACTGAGCGCACGCACGCAGGCTCAGGGGCTGGGTGTTCGATCCCCAGCCTGCCAAGTCGGCCCGCCCCTGGGGCGCACTGAGCCAGTGATTGAGACTGCGCGCGCCTGTAATCCCAGCTCTTGGGAGGCTGTAAACAGGAGAATCACAGGAGTCCCATCTAGTAGTGAGACCCTGAACACCCTGTAGAGCCTTCCCTAAAAAAACCGCCCTGAAGAAAACGTAACGCTACGTGTTTCCCACCACGACCTTTTAAAAACCCTACCCCAATCTGTATATAAAACAGCAAAACAGTAGAAAACTGGTGAGCAATAAACCCATTAGCTTTGCTTTACTGTTTGAACATTACATAGCATTCAAACTTAAGCATTAACGCTGCACACAAATATCCAACTATTTTTAACCAATCAAATCATCAATATCTGAATATATAACTGTAGATAAAGTAATACAATTGCAGTTAAAAATTCCTTTTAAGGAATGATTTACCTAGCTAGGCAAGTCTACTGTTTAATAATATGGTTCAAATGGTACCTACGGAATAAAAAAGAAACTACTACTTGTATCTTAAAACTTTAATTTTCCTAAGTTGGCCTTCAAAAAACGCGGGTGGGTTTACGACACACTGACACCGATGGCTCACAGAGGACGGCGAGCGCCAGCTTTAGGCGGCAGGCGCCTGCGGGCCTTCTCCTCCTCCTCCCGCTCTGCTGCCGCCCCACGAGTCACGACTGACTCACTGTCTACACTAATCGTCTTTGTAGAACGTGACACCCGGCTTACTTCAAGGTGCTAATGCCCACGTAATCTACTAAACTCTGAAACTAGTTGAGGAAAACAGGAAAATCCTAAAATATAACTGAGGAAAAGACATGAAGAGAAACATGATTAAGAAACATACAGAAAAACATTTCAATCCCACTAGTCATCAAATAATTAAAAATCAAAAAATTGGCCCTACTTTTTCCTACAAAATTGAAGATGAAATCAGTTACCATTTTTATGTCCGTTAAGTGACGTTATGAGCCCTCTGAGGCCAGTGTGTTACCATGGACAGAGCACACAGTCAAACAGCACAGATACAAAACGAAATGTGCATTATGGCTGAAATTATGTGAGAATATACACACGTGAGATTCCAAGTGGGACGCGCAGCAGCACACTAGCTGAACACGTTAGTGTGGGGCATCTGGGGCCTTCGAAGGTCTTCACATTTTCAGTAATGTTAATAATTTACAAATTAAGCTTCCGCTGGGGCTGGGGAGGAAGCCCAATGGTGCAATGTCTGCTTAACATGCTATAAGGCCCTGGGTTTGACCCCCAACCCTGCCACAAAGAAGTAATAAAATAAAAATTTTAACTTTTAGGGAGAAAGGCATAAAATAAATTAAAATAATTTGCACTAATCCTGAGTCATGACTATGCAAAAGCCTAACAACAAAGTATAGTATTTTTTTCTTTTTCTGTGAGCGGCCTGAGGTGACCTGCAAAACTGGTTCCCTACTCTCTCAACCCAGAAAACCCCACAAAATCATGCAAATCAAGAGGCTCAAGTCTTCACGTTCACTTTAAGAACACGCGTGAAACTGCCCAGGCCCTCAGGGGTATGCCTGAGAGACCACCAAGTATCTCAAGGATGTCACATTAAAGAAGCAATGTGTGCCATTCCAGAGTTACAGTGGTAGAGTTGGCAGGTATGCCCAGGCCAGACAGTGGGGCTGGACGCAGGGTCGGTGGCCCAAAAAGAGTGCTGAATTTTTGCTGCACGTGCTTAAAAATGCAGAGAGTAATACTGAGCTTAAGGGTTTAGATGTAAATTCTTTGGTTACTGAACATAACCAGGTGAACAAAGCACCCACGATGTGCTGCCATACTTATAGAGCTCCTGGCCAGATTAACCCGTCCATGAGCTTCCCCTGCCACACTGAGATGATCCTTACTGTAAAGGAACAAATTGATCCTAAACCAGAGGAAGAGGTTGCACAGAAGAAAAAGATATCGCAGGAGAAACTGAAGAAACAAAAATTCATGCCACGGGAAAGAGTGAAGCATAAAATAAATGCAAATAAAATTTAAAGAATAGTATTTTCACTCTTTCAAAAGGAAAATATTTTTCCTCACAAAAGATGAGACTGTATTAAAAATGTCTTTTTTACACTGCAACTAACGACATTTTTCAAACATAGAGAAAAGAATATAAGCACCTACCTGCTGACACTTTACACCTTGAAAGAAGATGCCTTTCTACACAACCCCACAATCAAAAGACACCAAATTACATAAAAGCCCAAGTCGTTTGGGCAACATGACACACCTTAATCGTGGCCATCAGAGAATCGATAGAGACCTCCAGGGCCTGCACCTGCTTGGTCACCTCCGGCTTCCCATCCTTGAGTGCGCTCACCACCTCGGTAAACCTGTCCAGCCGCTTCTTCAGGGCGCCCACCTTCACCAGGCCGTCGATGCTGGGGACAGGCAGAGTACACTCACTGCCACCGCTCCTCACAGCTTCTGCGTAAACTAAACGCTACGCGCAGACACCGGCCTGTCCCTTCTGTTTCCATTATTATCTAGTGTTCTCCCTCTTACAGGCTGTTCTACTGAGGCACCCGCAGGGGCAGGAAGGACACTGATGCCTGCCCTCTACGTTTAAGCTGAAAACCAAATATTCAAATCTGGTATTTAAAGAAAGTATTTAACAATCTCTGAAGAGAGATGACGTTCAGACATGCAAGTTGAAAAAGTCTAAAATAGTAATAAAAATTCAAATTTAGAATATTTTCTAAAATTAAGTCTATAGTGAAACAACTTAATTCCATGGATAATCTTGAAAATAATGGTCAAAATATTTTTAAACATCAATCTGACATTATTAAGAAACTGCAATCACTAAAAGAACTAAAATAATAGCTCAACTATTTACTGCAACCTATAGAAGTATGTATTCACATTTTTATAAGTTATTTCAAATCTTATAGAATGAGGCAAGAAACACATAAATTACCTAAAATAAGTATTACAAATAACAGGCTAAAATATCATTTTACAAACAGCATGCTTTACACAGATCTAAACTGCTTTCTTCGCATTCACTGCTGTTGACGGCCTACATGAGGACAACCAGGTCTGGGGCTGGTGGCTGCGAAAAGACCTCCCTGTGTGGCCCTGACCGGCCGCCCGCTCTCGGCCCTCCAGCTCAGCCTCCCTAGTGCTGGATCGCAGGGAGGCATCACCAGCCGGCTGGGACTCCACTTTGCAGGGTTCTTCAGGTTCCGGCCACCTTACCGTGGTTTGTGTCTCCTTTTGCAGAGCCACATCCGAATAGTTTTCTGCATTTTTACGCAAGCTTCTGCTCGGTATTTTATTTTGTTTTTCACTAAGAGTAAAATGATTTTAAAGTTCAGTTAAAATTGGACAAATGATATCTATTTTTAAAAAACTATTCATTTTTACAAATACAACTCTTAAGCAATATGAAATCTTGAACATACTATACCTTTTCTCTTTTTTTTTTTTTTGGTGGAACCAGGGATTGAACACAGGCACTTGCGCTTATTCTACTGAGTTATCTCTCTGGCCATCCTGAACATACTGTACCAAATACTAAAATCATAAAAGTTTTAACCTGTAGAATGGTTTCTTAATACTTCTTAAAAATAAAAGGTATACCATGTATGTGGCTGGGGTCATACTTTAAATTCATTATTTCCTTATTATGCTACATTACTGATTCCCAAACTGTCCCACAAGCATTTGCTCTAGTCAGTGTGAACATATGCCTTTCAGAAAGGATTACCTGGGAATCAGTTTAGGAGAGACATAAAATTGTCCTCTTTTTGGAAAATCACAGCGAGCACACTGGGTTAGGCCTCTGAGAATCCTACAGTAAAGGAATCTTTCATCTGCAGAAACCCAGAAACCCCCCGAGTGCTCCACCCTGAGAGGCGCTCCCCAGAGCACCTCACCAGCATCCTACGGGCCTGCCTCTCTGCGTTCTGGCCTCAGTGCGGCTGCATGACAGACCAGACCCAGGTGATTCCACTATAAGGTGTTCTCTTTCATAATGCAGCATATGAAACTGAAAGCACTGAACTACCATGACAAATATCCTTATATTTTATTTGGGAAATGAAAGGAAAAAAAGGCTCAGTTATCTCTTTGTCCATATTCACAAGTGTCTAAAGGATCTCAACAATCATCTTTGTTTTTATTATTCCTTTTCATGGAGCCAAATGAATTTTCTTTTTCTATTCATAAGGAATGTATTACTGGATCCATTTCATGTACCCAGCACTATGTCAAGTACTCTTGTATGGGCAGCAACTACAAATTTAATCCAGTTGCGGATTCCCAAATACAGTAGCTCTGAACAACTGCAGGCTTGCCACAGACAACTGAAAGTTGCTGTGACTTGGCAGAAACAAACAAAAGTGGCTCGCTGCAACGTATCAGAGAGGAGAGGTCCGAGGGACTGCGACGACAGGAGGAAACCCCACACTGCGCGGTCCTGAAAGATTTGAAGACCTCTCACTTTGCCCATTACCGAAAGATGGTGACCTAGAAAGGCTTTTAGCTTAGGGCCTGGGACCTACTGAGGCTGCAGGATGGGGAGAAAGAGGATCCATGAAGAAAAAGACAACAAAAAAGCAACCACTCGCAGTATCTGGAGGTGAGATCACCCCAATCTGATAACTGATAAGATCTCAGGGGTAGGGGCCTGCCCCTTAGCTCAGTTGTTTAAGTGGCTGCTTCAACAAAGCAGTCAGCCTCAGGTTGCTGTGGTTCAATCCCCACAACTCCACCCAGCCAAACATGCCCTGAAGGCATTCTAAGCCAGCCCAAAAAATCCTTCTAAAAAAAAAAATTAAAAAAAAAAAAAAAAAGATCTCAGGGGTAGAAAAGGAGAGACAATTGTGTTCTTGAAATTTCTGCCATGTGTACATAGATGGCAAACAGGCAGAAAAAGAGAAAGAAAAAATGAAGAGCTGGGCACGGTAGCGCATGCCTGTAATCTCAGCACTCAGAAGGCTGAGGCAGGAGGATCACTGGGAGTTCTAGACCAATGGGGCTACAAAATGAGCTCAAGGCCAGCCTGAGCTGCACAGCAAGAGCCTGTCTCAAAAAGACAAAAAAAAAAAAAATTAGGGCTGGCCTGTACACAGCAAACTAAAGCACCTGCTATGGCACGGCTAAGTAGCCAGAGTTTTCTCTCAGGGCAGGCTGTGCCAGCCCCGCCCCAGACACACTGAGAAGGCAACTGAGACTGGGCATAGTGGAGCCCGCCTGTAGTCCCAGAACTTGGGAGGCTGTAAATACGAGAGTCATTATGCGTCCAATCTACGGAGTGAAACCCTGTAGACCATGCAGACCCTGCCCTAAAGACAAGAAAAAAAGAAATCAATAAAAAGCTAGCCTACTACACATTATGTAGGGGGCCCTGCCTGAGGACTCAGCAACACAGCAAGGCCTAACATCCTGGCCACTGCCCAGCATGCCTGAGACGGCACAAACCAGCACACGTGCACACAAGAGCTCGGGAGGGAGGGAGCACTCACGCTTGATGACGGACAGCGCACACCACTGCACTTTCTTCCAGCGACTGCAGACCAGCCAGTGATTGACTCTTTTAACCAGCTCTGCTAAGTGGTCAGGGTCTGACTTCATGATCTGATCAAACTCCGCAAACTAGGAGGAAAAGTAGTTTATGCCAGCATTAAAAGATAAATGTACTTCAACACACGGGAAAGTGAAACACTAACATCTGCCTCCGAAATCCCACTTTCTGGCAGGGGCTGCAGGCCAGCCTGGTGGGTGGACAGCGCACTGAAGCAGTTGACGCCTGCCTGTCCCTCGCCTTCAGGCTCTCCGAGAGGCAGAGAAGGGCACTTGTTTTTAAGTAGCAGATTCAGTAATAAATGTAGAAAAACTTCAGAGGATCAGCAAAAAGGTCTGATCAGGGAAAAAAATAGAGAACTGATGTATTTTCGAATGGGCTCATCCATATTCTCAGATGGCCATATACAACTTTTGATAAGTGAAGGCCGCCTATGCAGTATCAGGTACCAAAACTATTCTGTCTCTCTCAACCCCCAGCCTCATTTTGGAAAAAGATTTAAGACTTGCTACTGAGAGAATACACAGCACAAATAAAATGAATAAAACACTGTTTCCATTACTTATGACAAAATTCCAAAATGATTTCTATTCTTTACCAAATATCCCACCTAGTGTTTGGACAGGATATCCTGTCTGCTTCTTGTGCTATGGATTTTATTTTTTCTGAAGGATGTAATTCTTAATTAAGAATTTCTCTGAAATAAGAGAAATGTTGAGTTTATGATAATTATGAATCCTTAACACTAAGACAATTATGACATTTATATATTCATTTTTGTTAATATTTTATCATTTAATAATAAACAATTATGTATAATAAACTTAAGTGCAATAATAATCAAGCACATACACTAAGCTCACGTTTCACCCCATGTTCAGACATGTGAAATCAAATTTGTTATTCACATTTTCAGACACTAAAGATTTTTTTTTTTTTTTTTTGCTCTGAATGCCCTCAGGGG